CCTTACAGGCATCAACTCTCCCACTGCTGTGTCAGTATCTGAATGAATTACTCCATTTGCCAAACCGTTTTTTCTTAAGAGCACTTTGGACATTAATACTTCATTAATAATTGTTAGGATAAAATGATCATTAATGTATTCCATGTGATTACTGTTATTTTCCTAATCATTAATGTAAGATGTATACATGCTTATTTTATTTTCTAAATGTAATACATATATCTACTATCAAATAAAAGAGCTGTGAATCAGAGTATTATAAACCGTAAATCAGTATTAGAATGAAGGAAAAATATTTCTCTTTACAATGAATGTATTAATTTCAATATAAAGACTCAGATGTTCAGTTGTCTAACAAATTTATAGCAAAAAATTCTATTCTCTGAAATTTCACAAAGGGAAATTTTTTTCTTGACCTCTGAAAGTGTTAAAATAATAAGGAGTTATACAATTAAGAGATGTAATTATTAGACAATTAACAATGGAAGAGATATAATTATTAGACAGTAAGAATGGAATTTAAATAAGAAAGCCCACATATATAGTTTAGTCTTCAGTCTTAAAATGCTTCATATGTTGTTATTTGAACAGTTATGCAAAAATTTAACATGGTTGAGAAAACTGGCCATGTTAACTCAAGCTAATGAACATAGACTAGCAGACAGTTGTCGCTGCTTATAAACCCATGACTTCCTCCCAAATAAACTTCCTTTAAAGGAAAAAACCAAGCAGAAGCTAAATGAAAGATATTCTACTAAGGCAATTAGCAGACAGAATTCGCTTGCCAAACTCTCAATTTCAACATAACCAAACAACCTCTTCTTTTATGTATAAACCCAATGAAGTATAGTAACAAGGCTCACCAATATGCAACAGGAATGAAGGAGATATATACTAGTTTCCTAGGGATGTCATAAAAAAATTACAACAAATTAGGTGACTTAAAACAATAGAAATATGTTCTCTTGGCTAGCTATTGGAAATTGAGGTGTCAAAAGGGCTCTGCTTACTCTGAAGGCTCCAGAGGAGAATGCGTTCCATGCCTGTCTCCTGGCTTCTGGTATTGTCAGCTATCCTTGGCATTCTTTGGCTGGTTACTTCAATCCCTATCCCTGTCATCACACGGTGTTCCCCTCGTGTGTCTGTCTCTCTTCTCTTCTTCTTATAAGGACAGCACTCATATTAGATAAAACCCACCTTAATACCTTCAATATTAACTTGCTTATACCCACAAACACCCTAGTTCCAAGTAAGTTTCCATTCATAAGTACTGGGGCTTAGGACTTCAATATATCTTTTGGGGGACACAATTCAATCCATAATGGGATAGGGTATTAAAGGCCATGCCTCCAAGGTTCTCTACCAATATGTTTGCTACAACCAACCCTTTTCAGGTTGCAGGAGATTTAGATAATGTAGCTACTACTATTGGTAAAGTATTTCTTATGGTATAATTTATATAACAGATAAACCTGTAATGAAGAGATAAACCTGGCAACTGGCACAATAAGCTACACGCTATTCAAGGAGGACATTTAAAACATTGTATTTTCCTTCAACTTTCAAAGTATATTTACTTTTTGGTGATTCTGTATTGTATCCTGGTTGGTGGTTTTAGACTACTGCTCCAGTTAGGGAATGAACTATTACCCCCCCCCCCCCCAATAACTCACATGTCAAAGTCCTAGCCCTAGTACCTCAAAATTTAACTGTACTTAGAGAGAGTACATTTAAAGAGGTAATTTAGGTAAAATAAGGTCATATCGGTGGGCCTTAATCCATTATGAAAGGTGCCCTTATAAGAGGAGGAAACTAGGACATAGGCACAAACAGAAGAAAGATCATGTGAAGAAGATGGCCAGGTGCTAAGGAAAACTAAACTCGTTCAAATGCCAAATCTCTACTTCCTGCCATTTAAGGAAATATGAACTTTAGTCTTCAGAGAATATAACAAGGTTCATCCATGAGGCACCAGGCATATTCCTTGGAATTTAAATCCATGAGCTGCCATACAAATTTGTGGCCATCCTAGAAAATTTCATCCAAAGGCCATCTTCAAGGACCAGGTACTCATGCATCACTGTTGTCCTACTGAAGGCCAAGGGGAAGCAGGACTTTGAATAGGACCAGCTAGTTTCTGCTGGTCAGCCGAGTCTTGTTTACAAATGTGTACTCAGCAGCAGTATTAAGCTGGCACACAATAAGCATTTTATAAATAAATGGGCATAAGACAGAACTCAAAACTGGGAACTCCACCAGTTCATTTCATTTGTAACTTTTAGGACCATGGCACACAATTGTGCAGGTTGTGTCCTGAATAATAGCATTCCACCAAGAAGGGGAATGGAAGACTCTGTGAGGCTGCATCCACCAAGAAGGGCCACTTTTTTGTACTTGACGCAAAGGCTCTTTCTGTTGGTCAAGATATGTGTGCCCACAGGCACCTTACAGATTAGCTTAGGGTGCCTCACCCTGTTTTCCAGAATTTCTTGGAGACCATCCTCAGAGGTGCCATGAAGACTTACTCTATGCTTGATCATCAATTACTGACTCTGGGACTCCTTGAGATTTGATTCTTTCTCCATGATGATATGCCATTATAACCTGCAGTGTATATGTTTGTGAACTTGGACTACATACTGCCACATTCCTGTGTCCCAGTGAGGAATATGGACACGGCACCAGCAAACAAGATATCAGAGGTATTCTTCTGTTAGAATCCCTACAGCAGGTGGTAGTTTTAAGAGAATTTCTATAGCACTACACTGAACAAATGACATTATTTTGATGTGCTAGAGGTCAGGGTTTCTTAACTTTGACACTATTGATCATTTTGGAGCATATAATTCTGTTACGGGGCACTCTTTTCTGCATTGTAACATGATTGGCAGCATCCCTGGCCTCTCTCCACTAGATGCCAGGAGCACTGTTCACCCTCACCCCCAACTGTGACAAGAAAATATGTCTCCAGACATAGTCATATGCCCTCTGGGGAATAAAATCTAGCCAGGTTGACAACTACGCTGCTAGACCTACCTTCATTTGCAGCAGGTGGTATGAGACTGACAACAAGAGGACATGTACTGGCACTTAGATGCCCATCACTATCTCCTCCTGCTCTATCGCATTTGAGGCTGATGTACATTCCCCCTGACATACAACTGGCAAGTAGACTGAGGAATTCTGCCCAGCAAGATGAGAGGCTGGCTCTACTCCCAGCGGGTAGAAAAAAACTGAACCCTAACTTTTTGCTTCTCTTCCTTCCCTATCTCACCCCTTCCTCCTTCCATTAACTCCTACTTTACCTCTGCCCCTCTCCTAGAAGGAGAACTGTGATTCAACTAAAGCCATTTAGGTGACTTACCTTCTCAGACATGATGTCACCCAAGAGCAAACTTTGCTGCTGAACCCCTGCAAGCTCTGGTCTCTGTCCCCCAAATAAACAGACACATGCCTTGGTGTTGGCTAGAAGTCTGAACTGCTATATTCCCAGTAGCCTAGTTAGTTTGCATATTTTGGAGGGCCTCTGTAGGCAGAAGTCCAGACTCACAAAGAGACTGACTTGCTCATATAATCCGAACAGACTGACACTTATCAAAGCAGAAATATGGTCTGATCCTTGGACAGGGATTGGGCAGTCTGATGCCTGTCTTCCCACAAACATGGCCCAAAGACACTAATTCCAGTGCATTTACATACTATTTAGACCCAGATTTCTTTTACACACACATATATACTATATATACATATATACACATATATATTTTAAATACATAAATCAAAAAGTATGTTTCACAAGCAATGGGGGGCAGGGAGATTACTATATATTCATATTTCATTCAAAAATAAGTTCCATATAAATCAAAGATGAAGCATTAAAAACTGCAACTTTAAGTACCATAGGCCCTAGGCCCAGCTGGTGTGGCTCAGTGGCTGAGCATCAACCTATGCACCAAGAGATTGCCGGTTCGATTCCAGGTCAGGGCACATGCCCAGGTTGTGGACCAAATCCCCAGTGAGGGGCATGCAGGAGGCAGCCAATCGATGTTCTCTCTCATCAATGTTTCTCTCTCTTTCTCCCTCACCCTTCCTTTCTAAAATCAATACAGGGAAAAAAAATGAGCACCAAGAATACTATAAATATATGGAAGAATGTTTATTTTTTTCTTATTATTATATTTTTAAAACCTCACCCAAGGATATTTTTCCAATTATGTTCAGAGAGAGTGGGAGGGAGGGAGGGAGAAGGAGGGGGAGGAGAGAGAGAGAGAAACATCAACGTGAGAGAGACACATCGATTGGTTGCCTCCTGCACAACCTGGACCAGGGTCAGGGACGAACCGCAGCTGAGGTATATGCCCTTGTCTGGAATCAAACCTGTGACTCTTTGGTCTGCAGGCTGACACTCTAACTGCTGAGACAAACTGGCCAGGGCTGGCAAAAATGTTTAATAATTTGGGGCAAAAAAGCCTTACAAATCAAAACACAAACACACAAGTCATGTAAGAGATTTCTGTGATCAAGTTGTTCTACTGTACAAGTATCTTATAGATATTCATATACGTGGACAAAGACATATATGTAACATAATAGTACAACACAACAAAATGATCAGCAGACAGAAAATGAAATAAATGTCCAATAACAAAGACTAACTGAATAAATTATGGCATTTCCATACATTGGAGTACCATGCAGTTATGAAAATGACTAATGAAGATTTAAATGTGCCGATAAGAAACAATCTATCAGATATAGTTACAGAAAGAATACATAATGTCTTTCCTTTTATGCAAAAAAAGAGTTACACAAGTTTGCTTATATAAACAGACTGCAAGTATTTCTAAAAGGAAAGATGGGTCTGAAAATAAAATTTGCTTTCATTGGATATCCTTGGCAGTTTTTACTTATTTTTTAGATGGTGCATGAAGTCCATCACAGAAAAATAAAATCAAAGAATAAAATTCAAAGAAAAAAGACAAAAACAAAAAGATTCTTACCTTTCTCTGCAAAATTTAAGTGAATGTAGTATGGCAGGTCTTTTTTGACGTAAATTCCATAAATGTAAGGTGTCATCAGCCAAGGCACTCACAAGAGCTCCCTTAAAAATAAAGTGTAATATTTTTATATAGAGCACAATTTACAAATATTAAAGCTACTAAGGAACTGCCAAAAAACTTCCCAAATTTTGAAATTCTCTGCCAACAGATTTAGTTCTGAGAAACATTTGCCTCAGCCAAATCCTAAGCAGCAAATACAAAACAGTGTATTGTGTGCATAGGCACACAAGAAGTTAAAATGTTTTAACTTCAATAAATTGTAACTTAATATCTTATAAAACAAAAGTATATTAGGATCTGGTTGTTCTTTATGATTGATTATTAGCTATGTAAACGTCAAGACCTGACTATAAGTTACTTGTTCACTACTATACATATTTCCTTGACTAAAAGAGCAAAATATGGCTTGAGGTAACCTTCCTGTTTTATTTGGCTTAAGACAAATACTTATTGAATGTACTACAGCTAGATCATAATTCTACTACTAGAATAAGAAAAATAAAGATTGCATTCAGCACACTGTAACTTCAATGTACAAGGGGTTGAAAAATCTAATTTAGAAAGTTAAAACATCTGACACTGTTAAATACTATTAAGTGTAGAGAAAAAAAAATCTCTGGCAGCATGTAAACATCATGCAGGGCACTCGGTCTCACAGATGTGACAAATCAGAATTTTCAGAGCAAGAATCTATGCAGGTGTATTTTTCTTAAAAATTTCAATAAATGATTCTGATGTGTGAATAGAATTAAAAATCTCTATATTACAGCTGATTTATTAAGACATATGAATGCTTTTCCTCAAAAGAGTAAGATACTCTTCTTCTACACTGAGAGAATAAGACAAAAGATACAACATGAAGAATTTATATTAATTTCAAAAAAGATGTGTAATTCTAATCCTTTAAATTATGAGAAATCTTATAATCTCCCTCTTAAAATTAAGTGTTTCTCATTTATCTAAGAAAATTAAAATAGCACTGAAGGCAAAATTTACATTAAGTGATCTCTCCAAGTCCTTTTCCACCTTTGAAATTTTATGAGGGTTACTCTCTTATGTAATTCCTATTGTTACAACATGACTACTGGAAAGCAGAAATACATAAAGTCCACATACTTTCACTTTCACTGGACAGCATCCCCTTATCTATATCACTCTGAAACAGTGAATCTCAAAGGATCAAGATTATCAAAGATTTATATTCTTCATTCTTATTTCCACTGTAGTTTAATACCATGTCATCTTCCTTCTACAGATGTTTGTCCCATCTTAAAAATCTCAAGGAAGAAGAGAAGATGTAGAGCCAAAATGCAGTAACAGCTGACCTCCTCCTATCATGGCTACTTGATTAATTTTCCAAAACTGAAAGCAAACAGCTACTCCCAAGTGTAAGATTTCCAGAGCTGTACCCATTTAAATATTCATGTTTTAATAAGCATTTTTTAAAACCTCATTTTAAGTACTTAAATGTAGCATTTAAGCATGTAAAATAACAGTCATATCACAGAACTCTGTGATGAGTCCTACTGATGAGAAAAGAATCCTGTAATATGAATAATGAAAGCATAAACTACTGAAGACTTCTAAAGTTTAGGTGTATAGATAATCGATTTGCAATGTTATTTACACTTTAAATAACAATCTTAACACAAGCATAAAGATGAAGAATAGCTGAGTGGTCACCAGGAATCAGAGTGAAAGAGCAGGCGGGGAGGGAGAGTGATGATAAAGGAGGAACCTGAGAACATGCCTTTACAGAGGTGGAAGTGATCTGTACCTTGTCAACAGTGGTCGTTACACAAATCTATATGTGTTAAACTTCAGGACACTACACACACACACACACACACACACACACACACACGAGTACATGTAGAAACTGGTGGTGCAATCTAAAGAAAGTCTTCTTAATCTAAACAGTACTGTACTGATGTCATTCTCTTGGTTTAATACTGTACTACCATTACATAAAATGTTATAATGGGCGAAGCTGGGAAAAGGTACACAAGACTTCTATATTTTGAATCTAAAAACCAGTCTAATTATTTCAAAATAACATCTAAAAAATAAATAATGAGTCCTCATATATGAGTTTGACAACTTTCTATATTGATTTTTTTTAAACACTTTACAGGCAATTCTATGAAGAATACTGAAGTTTATTATTATTATTATTATCATTATTTTTTTTTATCCTCACCCGAGGACATTTTTCCATTTTTTGTTCAGATAGAGTGGGAGGGAGAGAGAGAGAGAGAAACGTCGTCATGAAAGGGACACATCGAGTGGCTGCCACCCGCATGACCAACCAGGGCTGGGGACAAACTGCAACTGAGGTATGTGCCCTTAGCGGGAACCGAACCTGGGTCTCTCTGGACCGCAGCAGGCCAACACTCTAACCGCTGAGCCAAACCATCCAGAGCAAAATAATGAAGTTTAAAAAAAACACTTCCTCTGACCCTGAAAAACCTACATAAGTGCATATTATTTGGATCATACGTCTGCTGAAAATTTTCAATTGTCATCTTTAGCTCTTTATACCCAAGATGCCTTTTTTAAATCTTCTGATATGAGCAAAACATGTATCAAAAGTCAGAGGTATTGAATATTTTTCTCTCATATATATTTAAGAATTTAGGGACAAATAAAATGTCTACAAATTACCCTCACATCTAAGGATATCAGAGCTTTCTGGAATAATTTTTCTTTCTTCTATCTATGACCAGCTTTCCCTGCCTGTCACTACTTACAGTAAACATCTATCCTCAGAGCCCATCATACTTTAAAACCTGCAAACACAGTGTTTACTCTGCTGATAAAATGGGGTTTCTCCAGCTCTTTCCAAACTTTATAGTCTACCAAAAAGAAAGGCATCACCAATTACTTCAACCAGTAAGTGACATAACAAGACTTTTGGACAGTAAGCAGTTTCTAATGGATTTGCTTTCCTGGATGTATTTCAAAGCAAGTCATTAGAGAAGTAAACTTTGTTATTTATAATTTTCAATAACACTAAAATTAAATTTAAATGCTGCACCCTGTACCAAAAAGATTTGCCTTATACCATTCTACTTGCAAAACCGTTTTGAGAAATATCACCCTGGCCAGTTTGGCTCAGCAGTTAGAGCATCAGACCATGGACCAGAGTTCTGGATTCGGTTCCCACTAACGGCACGTACCTCAGTTGCAGTTTGTCCCTGGCCCAGGTTGGGGTCATGTGGGTGGCAGCCACTCGATGTGTCTCTCTCACATCGATGTGTCTCTCTCTTCCTCCCACTCTCTCCCTCCCGTTCTATCTGAAGATAAATGCAAAAAAAAACCATCTTACATTATTTATGTAAGTGTTCACAATGATGTCTTAAAGTGAATTACTATTATCTCTTACCTATAAGAAAATAGTTTTTGTTCACATATTTACATATGAATGAATGCAAGAAATCTGAAAGACCAGACACGGCCTATTTCATACATAACTAAGAGAGACTAAAGCAATTCACTAACCTCATTAATCAGGAACTGGAGCTGGATTACTGCAGCTCCACTGTCATGTTGGCAATAACATTCTACTCCTGGACGACCAAAGCTGCCATTAATTCCATTAAGGAGTTTATAGTATGTGTGTGCTTTTCATAGAAATTGGTAAATTATATAATAGACTTAAAATATACCAATAACTTGATATTCAATACACACTACTTATTGAAGTCGAGATTCAGTGTTAGGTTCATTACACATCAATCTGAGCTGGTAGTTTCTGTTGAAAATCAGAATGCTCAACGATTACAGGTCTAAAAGAAGTAAGACAGTATTAAAAAATTAGAAACAGCAACATACAGAAACAAGATAACATATACTTAATATATTTCCTCTGGTCTAAATTTTTTCTTTCACTTAAAATAAAAAGAGGAATAAAGGCAGAGCATTCAATTTTGCCTAAGTTAGCAAACAAATCTGAAAAACAGACAAATGTCATTTTGGAATAGTGCTCTTAAATAATCCTTTTACAGGTATTTTTCATTCGTGTAATGTCATCTTAAAATAGTTTACATTAAAAATATAATAAAAAGCCATATAATTATGTTTGTAATTGTGGCATGAGGCTATGTCATCAATGTATGTATCAATTTTTTATAATAGGTTTCAGTATAGATTAAAGTGCAAATTTCTATGACTCTACATATAACAGCAGCAAACACACAGCATTTTCTTGTTAGGCATTATATTAAACAAGTTATATAATGCATATGTAATCTCATCCCATATAAACAGGTAAGAAACTGAAGCAGAGAGAAATGAAGTAACTTGCGCCAAGTCACATAATTAGAAAGTAGCAGAGATAGAATCTGAGTAAGATTTCTGACTTCAGAGTTCTCACTCTTCGTAGGATATGCTGAGTAAAGAACAAACAAAACAAAACAAAACAAAAAACACCCAACACTTATAGAATTTATTACATGCCAGGCATTGTTATATGCTTTTAACCTTCATAAACTTGAAATAAGAAGTTAGACATTTTAATATGCTCTTATACTAATCTACTTTTCAGTGGTTAATATTAACAGAAAGTAAGAAGCTAACTTAAAAAAAAAATTTTTGATAGAATTTCATAAAATAACAGCCCTCTTTATACAAATTCACATTAAGGTGTGTAGACTATTTTTTACATTCTATTAACACATGTCCTAGGGTTCTTCTTAATTAAAAATAATTGCAACAAAGATTAAATTCCTGTCCGGCCAGTGTGGCTCAGTGGTTGAGCATCAACCTATGCACCAAGAGGTCACCAGTTCAATTCCTAGTCAGGACACATGCCCAGGTTGTGGGCCCAGTCCCCAGTGGGGGACATGCAGGAGGCAGCCAATCGATGTTCTCCCTCATAGATGTTTCTATCTCTCTTTCCTTCATACTTTCTCCCTCTCTCTAAAACCAATGAAGAGTGCTCGCTTCGGCAGCACATATACTAAAACCAATGAAGAAAAAAAAAATTAAAAAAAGATTTAACTCCTGTTTTCTCTCCATTTTGACTTCTAGAAATATTTCTAGCTTATAGTTCTATTCATTGAATTTTTTTATATTTTATTACTAACAATTAACTCTTCTATTATTTTATAAAGAGACTAATTGAGTATGTTTAGCCAACAGTACCTTACTCTTTAACACCTTGAAGTTATTATTGTCATTATCGATAGTAGTGTTTTTGCTCCACCAAATGCCCAAATGCAACTACAGGACACTAGATTTTAAATTGCTACTATTGGCACTTGGTAGTACCAAATCACACCCTAGCAGGCCAAGAAAATAAATATCTTCATCTCTATTCATCCATTTCTTTTCTCAGATGACAGCAAAGACCTTGTCATTTTAGTCAGTAAAGTCAGTCTAATTCAAATCTTTCCAGATAAATTATTCTTTCTGGTACCAATTAGCACATTGTTTAATTCCTATTTTATATGAATGGTGTAAAACGTCTCTCATATGACTAGATCAGGATTGATAACTCATTTATAAAAAATGTGAGCTATAGTGGAGAATCTTAAAAATCCTACTTACCTTACATTTTTTTACATAAATCATAATTTTGCTAATCTTATGATATAGTCAAAGACATTTTCTTTAAGTGCAGCTCTATTAACTAGAGTTCAGGATTGTTTTTCTTGAATAACTACTCTAGTATATGATTTGTATTTAATTTTTCAAATGGAACTCTAAAGGTACTGGCAACTAAATACAGCATTCATACATAGTCTTATTATTTCTTTTCCAATCATCTACTCTTATTGTATCTACATAGCATCAGACAGGAAATTTTAGGTGATTGACCTTCATGAAGTTTTTCTTAAGTATTCACTAAAGATATTTATATATTAAAAAATTGTTCATTTTACATTCATATTTCATCAACTTACATATTATTAAAGTGAATTACTTGAATATATCAGATATACTAAACACAAACAGATTTGGGAATACACAAAACTTAAATAAAGAACAAGCAAACAGCTGTACTTATTTGACCCTCCAGGGAAATAGCCTACCATTCTTACAACTTTATATGTTGTGGGCATCAATCAATATTTTATTCAAAGAAAATGAAAAGTGTCCATAAACTCCAGAAACCCAATTACATGGAGGTCAAGAAAAGTTGTATTCTTACTCTACGTATGGCACTATTTCAGACAAAACTGTATTTTTTTATGACATTAATATTAATAGTCATTTTATTTTTAGCTAAGATGATAAATATATTTTAACTTAAGAACTACTTACTGGCCCTGGCTGGTTTTTCTCAGTGGTTAGAGCATCAGCTTGCAGACCAAGGAGTCGTGGGGTTTGATTTTGGCCAAGGGCACACACCTTGGCTGCGGTTCATCCCCAGCCCTGGTTGGGGTCGTGCAGGAGGCAACCAACTGATGTGTCTCTCTCACATTGATGTTTCTCTCTCTCTCTCTCTCCCTCACTCTGAAAATAAGTAGAAAAATATCCTCAGGTGAGGATTAAAAAAAAAAAAAGACCTACTTACTGAATACCTGCTAAGTTTCAGATACTGTGTCTTAACTATGTAATTGTACTTAATCCTGACTGTAACTGTGAAAGGTAGTTATATTCCAGACAGGGTGGGGCAAAAGTAGGTTTACAGTTGTGTGGAAAATTATATAATAATTAATAAACAATAATACAAAAATAAACTCTATTTTACATACTCACAACTGTAAACCTACTTTTACCCCAACCTGATTTTACAAATGATAATTTTGATGCTCAAAGAAGTGATTTTTCTCAAGGTTACTACTGATTTGTTTCCCTTTTCTTTTGGATAAGATACTATGCTGTAGTCCCCCTGAAGAGTCCTAACACTAAAAAAACCCTATGGATTAGAAGAAAGACATCATAATAAATTGTTACTTTGTAACAACAGAAAGTGTAAAATTAAATTTTAAAGAACTAATGCTGCTTATATATAATCAAGTGATATTGGTATGGAAAGAATACAAACTTCCGAGCAAGTACTTCTCAGTCCTTGCAGTATATCAAAATTTCAGCTCTACTGCAAATTTACTAAGCCCAAATAGTCTGAGAAGAAGCCTGGGTAGGTATTTTGTTGTTGTTCAGGTGCCACAAAAACATCTGAGGCAGTAAGAATTAAGACCTCTACTTTCAAGTCAGTTCATACGCCAGCTCCACCATACTTGCTTAACCTGAGGAGAATTATTACACCTCTCAACTTTCTCCTTCATAATATGCAGATACCTATCTAGTCCGGTTTGAAGAACTGTGGTAAGAATTACAACTACATAGAGTGCACTCACCAAATGATGGCCATTATCATTAACACAATGTATTCATTACTTTAACAAAAACTAACACTATCATACAATGGATATATTATAATGTAAGAAAGTATCAACTCTGAATATATTAGATGACAAAACAGTATTCATAGATGCAAATATTCATATCCTTTCATACCTATAATGATTATTGCTTCTTACATCTTTCTGATACTGACTTTACTGAGTTAACAGTTTTATTAGAAAATGATCAAACACTGTAATGATCAAACTCTGCCTAAGTTATTCCCATTTATTGTGGTTATGTTCACAATGAAATGAGAATATAAATGATCTGAAATTAAAATGAAAAAAACTCAAAAGGAAAGAGTACATATTGAGCAATTCTGCAAAGATATTTTGTTAAATGGAGAAATATTCATTTATTATTCTGATGTCTGTTCTTTAATATAGGCATGAATCAATTACAAGGCAAAACCAAAATTGTAAGGGCAACCAAATATTTCTCGATGTCAATGCAGCTTCCCTTCTAAATCTGAACTCCAATGCATTCTTTAAAAAGTGGTGTAATCTTTCTATCTTAGATACCTTTACTCTGAAATTTCCTACTGCTCACATACAAAAGATATGAGATCTACTTAATCCTACTAGGCAACTTTGTCTCTGGAGTAATTAATTTATCTGACCCATGACACATGCCAGGTATTTCCTACACAGCTATACTCATGGTTTTTGCCCAATCACCATCGTAACTCCTAAAGAGCTGCAGAGCAAGGCTAAAACAGGTTAGTAGTAAGGTCTCTGAATGCAAGCCTTTATATTTAGACACTACCCTCTAAGTAAGCAATACAGAGAAAAGAAATATTTAACGGGGAAAAAAAAATAATGAAACTAGCAATCAAGAATATCAAGAAGAGGAATGCAGGACTGATAAGCAGAAACAAAGACCAGAGTAAGTAAAATCTCTTGTAATACTGTATCATCAAATTCAAATTCGAAATAAGCATCCATCCAATTGCTTAAATGGTTCTCTCTCTTGGAGGTGGGTAGCTGGAAAGGTAGAAAGAAGGAATTAGGAGGCTTTTAAGTATATCATCCTAGCAGTTAAGATTTATTCAACATGTATTACCTCACAATGGTACCTCTATTATAAGCTGTTTTTACAAATGAGAACACTCATCTACAACAGGTAAGTAATTTGCCCAAAGCCATACAGCTACTTCACAAGAAGTTGAGGTTTGAACCCAGGCAGTCTAACTCCAGAACATATTATCACCAAACCATACTGTGTGTG